CCATCGTCTCCCTCTTCCTTCTACTCCGGTCATTCTAGCAGGAGCCCGTCGTGATCCAAAACTCTTACACCCATCTTTGCTACTCCTTCCAACCATGACTCTGGCAACTTATCCTGATTTAGACTTTTGAGCGGTACTGCGACCGTTTCGCCTTTTTCCGCTGTTTCTGTGCGCCGTGTGAGCCACTGTTGTATGACTGAGCGAAGGTTATTCTCGGCTTTCTGCTGCACATAATCGTGAAAGTCTTGGGTGACGATAATCTTGTCATCTTTCTGCTTGATCAATGCAGTGATCATCTTGGCGGCTTTCTCATAGTCTGGCTCCAATAGAATCTCGAGGGGATATAGTGTTCAATGTCATGCTCCCCCGGCGGAACTTGGAACTTGGGCGGAACGGCAAGACAAAACGCGTCTAACCACGTGACCCGCATGTGTAAGTACCAAGTGTAGCTCGAGAGCGCATCCACTCACGACGAGGGATCATAACACCTAGATGTTCGATGCTCTGCTCAAACGCGGAGCATATATCGGCCGGAGTTTGCTGGAACATTTCGATCGTCTCTGGCACCATCTCCAGTGGGTCGCATCGGTCATGATATTCGGAATCGGCGAGGTCGTAGATCATGTACCGCTCCGTCTCCGAGGTCTTCAGTGTCTCGCAGGTTTCAAGCCCCCGTGGAAATACGACCTTCGCATGATGTAATTTCAAGAGACCCTTGAGAATGTCTTGTCTAACGGTAGAGAAGATTATCAACAACACAGTGGAGATGTTTTCAGCCCCTACTCGCCTATACACCAAGTTCTTCATAAATCCTTCTTCAATCTTATCACCATTTTCACGCAGGTCGTCGAAGGGTTTCATTGGTTCTCCATCGGGGGACAGCATGAGACAGCAAAGCGTTGGGTCAATACCATCCGCTTCACGGGTGAAGAATCCAAGCTTCTGGGGAATGGCGTCTCCTTGGAGGTGGTGGCATTTGTCGTAGATTCCGCTCTCCTTCATAACGTCGCTGGTTCTATCCCTTCCCCAAGCCATCTTGCACAGAGCGCTGAGACTTCTGACTTCTTTGCTCTCTTGCGACGATATATCATCGAAGATAACTCGTGCGACAGCGAAGCCATTACGAGACTTGCGATGATGAGAGTGGCGGAATATTTCAGCCTTCGTCACTCGCAGCGTCACTGGAGTCGATATAGCCTCCAATTCCTTGAGGAGCGGCGCGGCATTGACTCCGGAAACGGCTTCTAAACGGTAGCGCGAGTCTGAAATTGCATGGTCTTTTGACGGCGGCCATTTCCACCATCTCACCTCGGTCTCCTTGGGATCGAATAGGCTTTCGTGAATGAAACTCCTCTCAAAGCCCAGGATGATAACGGGGGTGTGTTCAGTGTGAGACATGGCGACGAAGAACGAGCAGCTGTCAATCGCTGGTCCGACGTCCCCACGCGCGCTCGCCGTCCTTGCTCTCCTCCACCACCATCGCCGTCCCCAGCCCCCCTGTCCAGGCAGACGATATGTAGCGACTACACAGTCGCCTGTCGTCCGCTATTGGACTCCGGTGTCACCGTTCAACGTTCAACTTCTCTCCCCTCCGACCTCAACCTCCATGCCGACCTCCGCCGACATCGCCGGCCACGTCCACGCCGCACGAGCTGTCGACAGCTACGAGATGCGAAGGACGTCCGCCCGGCCGTCCTCCGCCTCACCCTCCTCCGTCTCCGCATCGCGGCCTTCTCGCGCGGAGCCCATTTCCGTGCCGCCCGCCTCCTCCAGCGTCGTGGCCCTCCGCTTCGCCCACCTCCTCCGCCTCGTCCGGGCCCTCATGCCTCCTCCCGCGAGCCCTCCGCATCACTCACGTCCGCGTCCGCGTCTCCCGCCTCCGTATCGCCCACCTCCGCGTGCGTCGCCCGCCTCCTCCACCTCGTGCGCCCTCCTCCGCCTGCACGCCCGCCTCCCCGCTGCCCTCCTCCACCCCCTCACCTTCGCGCCGCCCACCTCCGTGCGCATCACCCGCCTCCGCGCTGCTCTCCACGCGTATCGCTCGCCTTCGCGCCGCCCGCCTCCTTCTGTAGTAGTATACAATTTTCGTGTATACGAAGAGGCGATGGAGCAGCTCCAAGCCGACCTCAGCGCGCTCGAGCAGGACAAGACACTGGCGGCGAACCCTGAGCGTCAAGCGTCGACCACGCAAGTCGTTGAGCAGGAGGTGGTGGCCACCGAGGGCAACTTGGAGACATCGTACCTCCTCGAACAGGTGAGACCGTTCCCCGACCGAACGCACGAGCTAACAATTCCGGTCTCCAGATCGACGCGCTTCACAGCACTGTCTGTTTCCCGCGGAACAGGAACTCGTGGTTCGCGATGGTCGCCTTCGCGTACTACTTTTCCGGATGACTAACCATTCGCGTGACCGTCCAACAGGGAGTCCAGTGACCGCGGTACGCCTGACATCCTTCGCTAGACTCTGCCGATATCGCGTGCTCATGTTCTTGCTCAGAAAGACGGAGAACAGCGAACAAACCGTTAGTCCCCGATCTATCATCGGTAAGCCTACCTCTCTCTCGTCTGGGCGACAGGTGAACGACCGGCACCTCGCCCTCTGGGCAACGTGGTGCGGCCCATTCATGATGATCTCGCCCAGCCCTGATGGGGATGCACCGCGCCGGCGCGGACTTCAACAAGGTGGATATCGACGAGGCGGGTCACATCCCACAGGATGTTGGTGTGCGTGCGGTACGTCTCTTTGTCTTTGAAGGATGACGCGTGGGACGCAGGCTCGGATGGCTTTCTGGACCAGATCCTGACGTTCATGGCGCCCAAGAAGGGCGAGAATCTCTGCGAAGTCGTGAGCGTACATCCTGCGGGGCTTCAGGTGCGTCACTCGTAGTTTTTATTTACGCATCGGGTGTTTGGAAACCTGCGAGTTCTAGGTTGCTGCATGAGTACGCGTCAAGTTGGCTTTAGACTGCAACATGTTAATGATGTAGGCGATGGGACACCCATGCATGTATTATTTGACGCAGGCTCCATCTTGCATTGTTCGTAGGCTCATATCCATGGCGCAGCGCGCTCAACACGCTGCTCGCACTTCGGTGGACGACCGTGGTTCGGCCAGGTTGCTGCAGCCCCAGTGGTCACCCTCCGCACGATCTCGACGGTACTTGGACAAGCCCTGTGTACATCAAACACTTTGCACTTATTACATCGGTAAGGCTTCGACTACTCCTGGTTTTTCCAGTACCTATCTTGGCTCTCGTATTCGTCTTCGTCTTCCACATCGTCTACTCTTCTTCGGAGTAGTCCTCTTTTCCGGAGTAGTCCTCGTCTACCTCTCCCTCCCACTCCGGCACTTCTAACATCGTCCCATCGGCATTGACAACTTCCAAACCAATCTTCGCCACTCCTTGCAACCATGACTTCGGCAACGTCTCCCTATTAAGGCTCGTAAACGGTATTGCGACTGTTTCATCTTCTTCCGCTGTTTTCTCGCGATGATAGAACCAATCTTGCATGCTCCTGCGGAAGCCATGGGCCTCCCGCTGTACATATCTGCGAAAGTCTGCGGTGTCGAGAACCTCGTCCTGTTTCTGCTTGATGAATGAAATGATCATCTTGGTGGCTTCCTCGTTGTCTGGCTCCAATAGAAGCTCGATGGGGATGTAGTGATCGATGATCTGACGCTTCGTCTGAAGGAACTTCGACGGAACGCGAAGATGGTATATGTCTGGCCGCGCGACCAACGTGTGTAAGTATCAACTTGTGTGGCTCGAGAGCATATTCACTCACGGCGAGGGATCGTGGCACCTAGATCTGTGATGCTACACTCAAACGCGGAGCATATATTGGTCGGGGTTTGCTGGAACATTGCGATCGTCTCTGGCACCATCTCCAGTGGGTCGCATCGGGCATGATATTCGGAATCGGCGAGATCGTAGATCATGTACCGCTCCGTCTCCGAGGTCTTCAGTGTCTCGCAAGTTTCAAGCCCCCGTGGAAATACGACCTTCGCATGATGCAATTTCAAGAGACCATTGAGAATGTCTTGTCTAACGGTGGAGGAAGTTATCAACAACACAGTGGAGGCTGAGGCGCTTTCAGACTCTACTCGCCTGTACACCAAGTTCTTCATATATTCAAGCTCACTCTCCCGACCTTCGTCAACCATCTCGCCGAAGGGCTTCTCCGGTTCTCCATCGGGGGACAGCATGAGACAGCAGATCGTTGGGTTCTCATCATCCGCTTTGCGGGTGAAGAATCCAAGCTTCCGGGGAATGACGTCTCCTTGGAGGTCCTGGCATTTGTCGTACATTTTGGCTTCAGCCGTAACGGCACCGGCGGTCTTCTCCCCCCAAGCAATCTTGCACAGAGCGGTGAGATCCTCGACCTCTTTTTCCTCTGGCGACGATATCGCATCGAAGGTGATTTGTGCGACAGCGAAGCCTTCGTGCCCGATCGGGCAGCCGGGACGATGGCGGTGACGAAATACCCCAGCCTCCTTCATTCGCAGCGTCACTTTCGATTCGGCCTCCTCGAGCAGTGGAGTATTGAAAGAAACGGCGTCGAGATCCCAGAACGAGCCTGGCCGTGAGTCTGGAGGTCGCGACCACACCGTGTCGGTAACACCCTCTTCGTATGTGAATAGGTTGCGGTAGATGAAACTTGTTGCAAAGATCAGGGTGACAACAGGGGTGTGTTCAGTGGGAGACATATCCGTGCGATGAAGAATCGAACCGGGGAGAAAGAGACTCTGGGAGATGGGTGTCGCTACTAAGTATCTCGGCAGTCGGGAGGAACTTCGGAGCTCATACGAGTTGATTCCGTCCTCCACGATAGTAGGCAGTGCTGCGTACGGACAAAACGACCCACGAAACAAATCTCTGCGCCTGCCTAAACACATTCTTCAGTCAAACCAAACAGCGGAAGCGGTTGCGACACTCACAGCAACAAGTTACGCGGAAAACCAGGCCACACTGCTTGAAATTACGGACTCGAAGACCGTGATGGCGGAGGCAACCTCCCTACGGAAGAAACACGAAGACCAGGGATATATACTCCAAAAGGAACCAGAACTCACCAAAGCAATCGTCGCCGCACTACGACAAAGGAAAGGTCATACAGCCTTCCAGTGGGTCAAGGGACACCAAGGACACCCTCTGAACGAACTTGCGGACGAACTCGCAGGGAAGGCAGCAAAAAAGCGCAGGGGAAACTGCGTCGAACTGACCATCCCCGCAAACCTGAACGTCACGGGTGCCCGCCTCACCTCAATGACACAAAAGTTAGCCTACAAAGCGGTCAGACAGATGAAAAGCCGCGAGACGCACCCGCGTCCCCGTACCGTCAAGATCGTAAGCTGTGTGCTGCGCGATCTCAAAGACGACCTCGGAGTCGACCTCCACGAACAAACACTGGTCGTCCCTCCGCAAAAAAGACCTGATAACAAAAGAAACACGTCAGTGGATGTGGACGACACTGCACGATGCCTATTGGATCGGAAACAGATGGCTGGAGGCCTCAATGCCCGCTGACCTGCAGGAGCGCGCAGTCTGCAAACACTGCAACGCAACCGAGGACATGACCCACATTCTCTTCGCATGTGACGAACCGGGACGCGAGATTGTCTGGAAACTACTCACCGAACACTGGCAAACGACAGGAGGACCCCCGATAATCCCGACCTGGGGCTCCGTCCTGGGAGCAGCATGCGTCCCCTTCCCAAACGACAAAGGAGCGAGAAGAGTGACAATGGAGAGACGATGGACGATCTTAGCCACCGAGTCAGCGCATCTCATATGGAAACTCAGGTGTGAACGGGTCATTGGCAGGGAGAACGAACCTTTCAATGAGAACGAAGTAAGAAATAGATGGTACGCGACTTTGGAACGTCGTCTAGACTTGGAGAGGCGTTATGCGGCGCTTACGGAAGGAAGACAGCGCGCAAAGCGTCTCAAGACAGTAGACGCCATTTGGACGCCGCTGATACAATATAACGAAGACCTCCCGCCCAATTGGGTCGAAAAATGCGGGGTTTTAGTGGGTATTTGTAAGACGCCCTGCAGAAGATCAGGGCAAGGCTGAAGTCACAAGAGTCCCACACACATGTGCGTAAAAGCATTTCCTCGCGGTGTAATACGGTTATGGTCTCACTTATGCTATGCTATTCCTCTCTTTCTAAAAAACGCCGGCCCCGGAGTTGCGATCCTCACGGGGCGGTACCCAGCGCGTCTACCCCTTACCCATCACAAGCCTCGCAGAGGATCACTGGGAAGGAGAGACACATGCGCTCCACCAAAAAAAAAAAAAAAAAAAAAGATAGTAGGCAGTGCTGAGTCTACGCCGGGGCTCGAGGGTGGTCCTTGTGCTCGTGCAGCACGTATTTATGATCGCGATCGATGGGCGAAGAGCGACGAAGGAGGGGAACGAGGGCGGAGTCGAGCACGTGCTATGGCGAGCTCGGCGCGTGCCTTCGACACCGAGCGCCAGCCTGGAGGTCGGGGAAGCTGGAGACACACAGAGTAAGCATCGTAGGGATCATGGGGTGTGGCCGCCATGATCCCGAAACAGAAATCTGATTCCACAGTACCCAGCTGCACCAGGGGAAACGGATTCCCGGGGAAGAACGAGAGTGCGTTCACGTTCGCAGCCGCCCCAGAATGAGATCTAACTGCTGGACGCGCACGCAGAATCAGAACCCAATATCCTTCGCCAACGTAGAGATTGAGGACCATAATCCATAAATATTCCTCAGTGCTACAAGACATCTACATGTGCGAGGACCGTCTGGGTCGCTGCGCCGTCTCTTAGCAATATGATACACCTCACACCCTCGCCTCGGGCGCAGGGGGCTTGCGCAGCGCGTGGGTAACTCGGACCTTGAAACGCGACTGCCTCTGCTGGCCCTGCTGGCCCTGTTGCTGTTGCTGGTGGTGCTGGTGGTGCTGCTGCTTCATCTCCTTCACCGCCCGGCGCACCTCGATCCCGAGCTGGGGGGGCGCGGGGGTCGGGACGCGCTCCCGGGTGGACTTGAAGAACTCCCACGGGTTCTCGTCCTCGGGCACGACCTCCATCGACAGCTTGAACGGGACGTCTGCGTCCTCGCCACTGCAGGACGTCGCCGCGGTGGACTCCGACGCGGCGGAGCCCGAGGCGGAGTCGAAGAGCCCGGCGGATCCTGAGGCGGAGGCGGAGGTGGAGGCGGACGAAGCAGAGGCGGACGGGGCGGGGGCGGACGGGGCGGACGGGGCGACGGCGAACGCCACGAGCGGGCGCGGAGGGGCGTTGGCCCAGGCACCCTGAGGTGCCTTGGGTGTGGCGATGTTGGCGAGGTCGAAGGCGACCCGGCGGGTGGGCGACCGAGCGGGACGGGCGGGACGGGCGTGGCGGGATTGGGCCCGGGCCCGGTGCTCGCGGTGGTGCTCCCGACGGTGCTCCCGGTGCTCGCGGGGGCGGCTGTGGTCGCGGGCGTGGCGGTCGCCGTCATGGTGGTCGCGGGCGTGGCGGTCGCCGCCATGGTGGTCGCCGTCGCGGTGACGGTGCGAGCGCGCGCGGGAACGGTGGACGACGGGCTCCACCGCGCCGTCCGCGCCGTCCTCCGCGAGCTCGGAGAAGTGCTTCCGGGGGGCGACGGGTGTCGGGCGGCGGCCGCGCACGGGCTTCTTGCCTTGGAGCGGCACGAGGTCCTCCTGGGGCACCTCCTCCGCGGGGTCGCACTCCTGGTTGGCCGCGTGCCATCCCTCGGACATGACGCGGGTGAGCGTCGGCGCGTCGGCGATCTCGCGGCGGAGGTCGGCGAGCCTGATGCGGCGGCGGGGGTCGATGGCGAGGGTGCGGCGGAGGGTGTGCGCGACGTGGCGTGAGATCGGGAGCGAGTCGTAGAGGTACTGCGGGTCGTCGAGGAAGGCCGCAAAGAGCGGGTCGCTGCCCTTGGGACGCGTCCAAGGGTTCCGGCCGGAGATCATGTTGATGAGGATGATGCCGAGTGCCCAAATGTCGCTCGTGCGAGGGCAGTAGGGAACCTTCCCGATGATTTTACCGGAAGCCTCTGGAATAACATATCAGTGCACTGCGCATACTGGAAGGAAGATGGGGACATACCAGGACTCATGTAGATGCCAGTTCCCCAGCCGTAGATGTCCACCCGTGCCTCATCGCTTGCAAGACCGAAGTCGGAGAGGAAAAGGCGCGAGCCGTCGTCGTTGACAAGGATATTTTCCGGCTTGAGATCCCGATGCGCGATTCCAGTCGCGTGCATCTCAATGACGGCATCGACGAGGGAAAGGAACGCGGTCCGGACGAGGGCCTCGTTGTCCTCGTACATATGAACTTCACAGATGCGGGAGAAAAGGTCGCCCCCGTCGCAGAGCTCGAGGACGAGGTAGAAGTAGTTGTCGGTGTCGTAAACGTCGTAGATGGTGACCACGCCCGGTTGCTCAGCGCAAGTGATGTGGAAGTGGATCTCCTGGCAGATGGAAGCCAGCTCGAACTTCCTGAGCCCGGCCTTGGGCATTGCCTTGATGGCGCGGTAGACTGGGCGGCGAGATCGGGCCGTTTTGAGGAGGATGGCTTTGTAGACGACACCGTATGCGCCAGAGCCAAGGAGCTCTAGGAGCTGGTACCCATCGCCGATGATCTTGCCCGTAAGACTGGGGATACGATCCGCCGCGTTGGATGGCATGTCGAATATATGCGGTAGAGAATAAAGTGGATGCAAAGGTTGGCGGTGTGAAGGTGAAAGAAAAGTGGAGGAAAAGGCGAAGAGAGAGAAGAGAAGATGGAACGTGTAAGATGAAGGTGAGAGCAGAAGGAGTGAAGTCGAAAAGGCTGTCGAATGATGACTTTGGTGGGTTGAGTTGGTGCTCCTTATATACATCTAGCCTAATGAGCTCCTTTGTCTTGATAGAGGGTCGTCTAAAGTCTACGGCACGAGCGGAAGCAAGTACTAGACACATCCGACAGCCCTGAGAGACTGCGGCCGTGTGGAGAGGGGTTCGGATTTGATTTGAGGCCGCACTTTCCGTCGATGTTCGCTGCAAGCGCCGTCGGATGTCGACTCCTTTTGCGCAGCAGACGAGGCCGGAGCGGCGGGACTACCACTGCGCAGCACCCCGCGATTTGGCATCCGTACCGCACACGAGCTCTGCGCGGAGGTACGATGGACGAGGTCATGTCGAATGTGCGAGCTGGCATAGCCAGCATTCTGCGGGAGGCCGTGGAGACACAGCGGGAGACGGGACTTGCACGAGAGGGGGCCGGACACCAGCTACACGCTCATCAGCCTGGTGCGCTTGCGGTTCCACGTCGGAAACCTCAACGACGACGGCGACTTCGGAGTGGTCACACCGAACGCGACTCGAGGTCTCCTTTGGCGTGGACGCTGGTCTGCATGGGAATGGGTGTCAGCCGCAGCCAGCACGTGCACATCCAAACACACCTGTGTCCGTATCGGGGTCTGGCTCCCGTTCCCGTATGATGTCCTTGAGCGCATCCAAGACTTCGCCGGTCCATTCGATGTAGGCTTGCAAGTTCCTCAGGCGCTGGTTGCTCGCGACGTCCGCCGCGCTGTCGTTCACGATCGACCACACCGCATCGAGCGCGTCCACGAGCTCGTGGGTCACGAGCGCACCTTCTGGGTCGTGCCGCGCGAGCTCGACGAGGATGGGCACGATGTGGCTCAGGCCGACGCAGATGTGCAGCGACGGCTCGCGCCAGAGTGAGGTGCGGAGGAACCCGCGGAGGTGAACGAATATCGTCCGCGCCCGTTCCCGCACAGCGTGGCGGTCCGCGGGGGAGAGATGGGATGTAGACCAAGATGCGCGGGCGGCGCAGCGCGCAACGCACTCTACGCTGTGGAGGTAGTTGTGGAGGGTGGAGGTGATGGAGGTCCCGCCGGGATTGTGGGTGCGCCATTCGGACATGGTCATCACTGGATGGTGGTGAGTGGAGTTCGACGGAGGAGCGCATACAATCAATCAACTTACCTGCTCGGATGTCGGACACGTCACATGGCACTTGATCGTTTCGCAGTGCCACAATGACACTGTTCAAGGCCTGGTCTGCGGCAGAGGACGACTCCATGGCGAGGACACACAAGTTCCGGAGGGGTTTCTCAGAGGCCACTTCTTTGGTTGAGTACCGCAAATCCCTGATGACGCTGGACACCGAGCTATCCCAGTCTGGACCGCGGTCTTCCTCACCGGCAGTCAGAGAAATGTGCAGCGCGTCCAGAGTATGCAGTGAGAACTTGTCTTGCGTTCGTGCAGTTTCCGTTCCCCAAAGTCGCGTACGGGCATCCATGACAAGTTGATAACAAGCAATTGCATGCTCCCAAGAGAGATCCACGAGCATCAAGCGCAAGTCGTTTAGGGAGTTAGAGTCGAATGTCATCGTGTAGGCCATCGCTGCGAGATCGCGATCGAGACGGCCTATTTGATTTGCGACGCTGATGTACTCTCGTCCTCGCCATGTTGGGTCTTCTCCGATGGACAGGCGCCAGGTCCTCGAAGCGAAGTCGGACACTTTCCCAAAGAAGCCGCGGTGGTGTTGCCATCGGCCTGTGATGCTCCGAAGGACTTGGAAAAGACGATGAGCCAGGGTCCTTGCTGATCGCCTCGCCCCTCGAACTGCCATGAAGATTGCTATAGACTGCGGAGATCGATATGGGCAATCGACGCGGATGACGGGAAGGAGGGTGAAGATGAAGACGATGACGAAGAGGGTGCCGACAAGCCCCGTTGCGATGGCAGCTACGGTCCCGTGGAGGTTCCATAATAGCATGACTAGTCCGACCAAGAAGAGGAAGAGGGCGAGCTGTAGGAGGATGGGGATGACGATGACGATGGTCGCGACATGCCAGCGTTTGAGACCCTCAAGGCGGTATTGACGGACTCGCGCGCTTTCTCTAGACGTGCCGGAGACGCCGATGCTGAGCTCGTGAAGCCATTGCTTGACCATCAGCGCAATGGATGCGGAGGCGAGTGAGAATACGAGACTGGAGAACCATAACGTGTTGATCCAAACTGCGGATGTGGGGGCGGTGAATGGTTGATCAAGATCTGAAGACGACACCGGAGGATGGGTAG